GAGGGGGCGGGGGCGGGGGAACCTTTACAAATCTTATATCTGATAAGACTCCAGTATCCAGAATATATTAAGAACTCTTACAATTCAACAATAAGACAAATAACCTAATTTTAAAATGAACAGGCCAGGCACCATGGCTCACACCTGTAATCCCAGCACTTTGGGAGGCCGAGGCAGGTGGATCACCTGAGGTCAGGAGTTTGAGACCAGCCTGGACAACATGATGAAACCCCCATATGCACTAAAAATACAAAAAACAATTACCCAGCTGTGGTGGCGCGTACCTGTAAACCCGGCTACCAACCAGGGAGGCTGAGGCAGGATAATTGCGTGAACCCAGGAGGAGGAAGTTGCAGTGAGGCGAGCTCGCACCATTGCGCTCCAACCTGGGTGACAAAAGCAAAACTCCGTCTCAAAAAAAACAAAAAAATGAACAAAGAAGGCCAGGCACAGAGGTTCATGCCTGTAATCCCAGCACTTCGGGAGGCCAAGGTAAGAGGATCACTTGATGCCAGGAGTTCAAGACCAGCCTGGGCAACAAAGCAAGACCCTGTCTCTACGTCAACAACAAAGAATGGACAAAGGGGCCAGGCATGGTGGCTCACATCTGTAATCCCAGCACTCTGGGAGGCCAAGACCAGCAGATCACTTGAGGTCAGGAGTTCAAGACCAGCCTGGCCAACATGGTGAAACCCCATCTCCTAAAAATACAGAAATTAGCCAGGCATGGTGGCAGGCATCTGTAATCCCAGCTACTGGGGAGGCTGGGGCAGGAGAATCCTCTGAACCCTAGAGGCAGAGGTTGTATTGAGCCGAGATCGTGCCACTACTCCAGCCTGGGTGATAAAGCAAGACTCCATCTCAACAAAAAAGGACAAAGAATATGAATAAACATATCTCCTAAAAAGATATGCAACTGGCCAAAAGCACATGAAAAGATGATCAACAGTATTAGTTATTAGGGAAATGCAAAGGAAAACCTTAAGACACCACTTCACAACCACTAGGAGAGCTATAATTAAAAAGTCAGAAAATAACATGTGCTAGCAAGAAACTAGAACCCTTGGACAGGCACAACAGCTCATGCTTGTAATCCTAACATTTTGGGAGACAAAGGCAGGAGGATCACTTGAGGTCAGTAATTTGAGACCAGCCAGGACAACATAAGGAGACCTCATCTCTATTAAAAATAGAATTTAGGCCGGGCGCGGTGGCTCAAGCCTGTAATCCCAGCACTTTGGGAGGCCGAGGCGGGTGGATCACGAGGTCAAGAGATTGAGACCATCCTGGTCAACATGGTGAAACCCCGTCTCTACTAAAAATACAAAAAAAAAATTAGCTGGGCATGGTGGTATGTGCCTGTAATCCCAGCTACTCAGGAGGCTGAGGCAGGAGAATTGCCTGAACCCAGGAGGCGGAGGTTGCGGTGAGCCGAGATCGCGCCATTGCACTCCAGCCTGGGTAACAAGAGCGAAACTCCGTCTCACACAAAAAAAAAAAAAAAAAAATAGAACTTAAAGGCCAGGCAGAGTGGCTCATGTCTGTAATCCCAGCACTTTGGGAGGCCAAGGTGGCCAGATTACCTGAGGTCAGGAGTTCGGGACCAGCCTGACCAACGTGGAGAAACCCTATCTCTACTAAAAATACAAAATTAGCTGTGCGTGGTGGCGCACACCTGTAATCCCAGCTACTCAGGGGGCTGAGGCAGGAGAATTGCTTGAACACGGGAGGCAGAGGTTTCGGTGAGCTAAGATCATGCCATTGCACTCCAGCCTGGGCAACAAGAATGAAACTCCGACTCAAAAAAGATAAATAAAAATAAAACTTCAAAACTTAGCCACGGGCCAGACGCAGTGGCTCACGCCTATAATCCCAGCACTTTGGGAGGTTGACACTGGTGGATCACTTGAGGCCAGGAGTTCATGACCCGCCTTCCCAACGTGGCGAAACCCCGTCTTTACTGAAAATACAAAAAGTAGCCAGAGGTGGTGGCACACACCTATAGTCCCAACTACCTGGGAGGCTGAGGCAGGATAACTGCTTGAACCTGGGTGGCAGAGGTTGCAGTGAGTCAAGATTGCGCCACTGCACTCCAGCCTGGGCAACACAGCAAGACACCATCTCAAATATATATATAATTTACCAGTTTATAAAAAACAGTTGATCCAAATTATTTTTCTGACAAAATGGAATAAGATTAAACTTTAAGAATTTTTAAAATAGGCAACCTTATAAAGGTCGTGAACCAAATTTTGGATAACACAGTTTAAATCAGTTGCCAATATACTGGGTTGGATAAGGAATAGTTGTGAAAACATGAATGCGTTATTTATATGAGGTGGCCCAAAAGAGATGAGTGGGTCTAACCAGTCTGTACAGTATTCTCTTGGACTCAATTTTTTGTCTTTGAAGAAAAGAATGTTGCCGTTTCTTTTAGTAGAGGGAGGAAGTCTTTCCAAGGGAATTTCATCTTTTGCTTTTAAGAAACAGCATGAAGTTGATAATGATTTTCATTTTGTATCTGCTGGTTTTCAAGTGTTTTTAACTTAAACAGTCAGTATTCCAGAACAGCCATTTAGAGGATAAAGAGGAGGAACTGTGAGGAGTGGGGAGGCTCCAGAGAGGAAATTTGTCAGCTGGCTTTGTCACAGTGTTCTGTAGGAAGGCAATCTTTGAGTCCTGAACGGACTTGCTTTTTAGCCTCAAGATATCAATGAGAAATGCATACTTTGTTGGAAGTGTATTTTATAACCATGGTCGGCCGGGTGCGGTGGCTCAAGCCTGTAA